ATCTAGTTGTATTATTATTATTTAATCTGGCAAAAAAATTTTTATATTTCGGGGCAAGTTTTACATTAGTATGTCTTATTTCTTTATTAATTTTTTCATATAAACCTTTAATATAAGGAAATGGAATATATTTCATTTTATTTTCATTTGAAATCTTTCCATTATCTATTTCATTCTTTTCAGGATTCTTTTTATTATTTACGTTGTTGATTTTTTCTTCCCAGTTTGTAAGTAACCTGTTGGGGTATCCATTTAACAAGAATTTTTTCTTCAAACTTTTAATATCATTATCTATGTCCATACATTTACTAGTTCTATTTTTTATCTTATTATATTCCATAGAAAATATATTTTGCTTTATATATAGTGGTATATTTGAGTTATATTTTACTGTTGTTTGCATTGAACTTGACTTTTTGAAAGTCTTAAATTTGAATTCATTCTTTTTTCTTATTATTGTAATATCTAAGTAATTTATCTCTTGATTAATTTCTGTTTCTGTTGTAAATTGTATAGTTTTTGTTATTTTGTTTATTACGTCTTTTATTTGTTCTAATGTAACTTGCTTTTCCTTATACAAAACAAAAATATCATCTACATATCTCCTACAAAAGTATATTCCTGGTATCTTACTAATATAATCGTCTATATCTATCATCACAAGTTCGGCTAGTTTTGGACCAATCACAGAGCCCATACTGATGCCTTCTGTTTGTGTAAAGTATCTTCCCTTAATTTCAAGATAATTGCTTCTATATGCGAACTCTATTAGATCTATAATTTCTGGTTCTATATTTATCTGTGTTAGTTTGTTTTCTATCATTTCCCAGGTTATTGATGGATACACGTTAACAATGTCTAGACTGGCCATTCTTAGCGTTTCATCGACATTTAAGTTTTTTACATCATTTATAAATTCATCCGTGCTACGTATAGCAATTTTGGAATTTTTGTACTTTTGCAAACGATTTTTTAGAAATTTTTCCAAATTGTACAATGTAGAGTATTTAAAGTCAATAATAGGTCTTATCTTTTCACCTTCTTTGTGTGTTTTTAACTGAACTTTCAACTTTAGTATTCTTTCGTTGTTTTCATTTAGAATGAACCATTTTTCATTATTATTTATTTTTCTTAATTTTTGTAATTTTAAATTTTAGATTTGAAATTAACATGGATGAACTGACTGTGATCTATAGCTTTGGACAGAAAGATGATCCTTGCCATATATTTTGTATAAAAGTACTTGGTGCATTTGGATTTAATTAAAGCTGAAAGACAGTATGCATTTATTAATTCTACTAATTTGGTAACAAGTGTGTTCATCAGTTTATTAGTTAAAATTTTTTAAGAGAGTAAGTGTCTAGAATAAGTTGCAATATTTTGATTGGACAAGGAGTTGGCTACAACACAGAAGTTCATAGATTATTATTACTATTATTACAGAAAAATCTTGTATTAATGAACCTCTCAGGCCATCAAAAATCATCCATTGTTCCTAGAATCTGTTATATCACAAACAATTGATTTTCCACACACCCAAGAAAATATCCATTATTTTAAAAAATTTCTATTTTTTAAACCCCCTACCAGTACTTTTATTTAGTCTCTTGAGACCTCCTTAATTTTATAGAAAGACATATTTGTAACATATGTGTGTGTATATTATACTGTATGTCAATGGCGTGCCATGACATTTGATGATAGGGAAGCTGTGTTTCTGTAAGAAGCTGACATCCAGGGGCAATAAGTCAATTGTGCATCAGTGATGATCTAGGGTTCATTCGTATCATTTATTCAATAAGCCGGGACACGATACTTTATTGGCACCCCTCCCCCTCCAGAAACACATATAGTTTGTCTTGGAGACCATTTGGGCCCGGTGCATGATACACCCCCTCACTACACCCCTGCTAGTATATCTCAAAGGATGCGACAGGGCTGTTGTAGATTTTAAATGTTTTTCACCATAGTTGTAAAAATCTAAATATGTTAAACTTAATAGTCATTTGTTTTCTGACTAATTCGTTTTAGGACCAAGTGTCCTCAGAAATTTCCAAAAAAGTCCTTTTATAGAAATTGTTCAATAATGATACTTGTGGTTTGTAACAACAGATTTACGGTTATATTGGTAATACAGTAAACTGTAATAATGTACAGTATCTATGAGAATAAACAAATGTTTAAACAATAATAATGTATTGTTCTGGGAAGTCTCACAGATGAGAAATGTTAGCTACTGTTTCTAAAATTTTGCTACAACTTTTTTAGTAAAATTAGCTAAAATGCTACAGAAAATTTTTTCCCGGCTTAAACCCCAGATTTATGAATGTGGAGTTTAAAAAGATGAAGAATGTAGTAGAACAGAATAAGAAAGAGGGTATGACAGAGGGACCTTTTACATTATGTGGACTTGTGGGGCCCAAGGTTTTGCAAAACTTTAGAGACAACAATAATAAAAAGACTGTATTTAATAGTAACTCCCACTCTACAGTTGCCTTAGAAGTGAGAAAGAAAAGCAAAACCTGATAAACAAATCAGGAGAAGGGGAAAGGAAATTGGGAAGACAAATATTATACAATGGAGTGACAGGAGAACTCTAGACATAAAGATGAAGGAACATTTGGATTATTGAATGAAAGGTAGGCTGATGATTGTTTTACTCGAGATGACATTCATTATGAGTAAAGAGGTTAAGTGGAAAAGTACAAGTTTGTTGGAAGAAATAAGGGAAGAAGAAACTATATGAACAGCTGAAGAGGTTTGGGTTTAGAATTTGGGAAAATCAGAGATAATTGACATTGGGGAGGCACTACCAGTGGCATGGAAATGGATAATGAAATAGAATGCAGGAGAAGGAAAGAAAGTTTGATCATAAAATAAGAAACTTTTCATAAGGTATTGTTAGAATTCATCTGCTTATTTTTTTAGAAGTTTTTTTTTTAAATGTTTTGAGTTGATATCAAATACTGAATAGTTTTTGAATTATTTGAATGCAGGAGGTACTACTATAAATGCCCCTAATGACCATACCCAGCTTAAAATAACTTGAACAACTTTGTGAATTATATGTTGTTGTGTTGATTTTCTTCAATAAAATAGTTTCATAAAAGTTTTAAATGTTTTAGGGAGAATGTATATCGTATCACTTTATTGCAGTATTATTATTGTGCTTTTTAATTTTTTCAATTTTTTAATTTTTATATGAGAAAAATATTAGAGAATTTCTAGAAGTTTAATTCTGTTAGTGTATTTTTTTTTATTTAATCATTTTATCTTGATTTTTTGAAATCCTATCATAACACTTAAATCATTTTGAATTTATTTTTCATAATTAAGAATACAGTAGAGCCTCGAAAACTCGGCCTAATGTGGACCGAATGGTGGCCGAGTTTGTGAAAATGTCAGGTTATCGGGAATGGGGTTAAAAAAATAAGTATAAGTGTTTCCTCAGAAAATACTGTACTCTACTTGTATGTATTGTTTACTTGAGAATACAACAGAAAATAAACTGCCCAAATACCCTTAAACAAAGGAAAAGTACGTCTTTTATGAAGGCATAGAGCCTTTACTACATGAAAATGAAAATTAATGAATACACTGTGTACAGTAATTTACCCGATAAGACAGACCTCAGAATAATACTTTATGAGAGCTTTTATACTTTTATAAAGCTGTCTATAATGAAAATTAATTAACTAAGGATTTTTTTTTGCCCTGACAGGGTGTGGCCGAGTTATCTGGAGTGCCGGGTTATCGAGTGCCGAGTTTTCAAGGCTCTACTGTATAAGATTTTAGTTTTTATGTAAACTGATATTTTTAAAACTTAAAATATTTTCTTGTTTAAAAATAAGTGTAATTGAAAGAGTAGATAAAATGTAAATTAATGGATAAGAAACTGAGTAAAGTTTGTGGTACAAATTTTGACTATATTTTTACACATTCAATAGAATAGTCTAAACTGATCATTAGTAAATGTAACTCCTCTGTTTTTAAATAATATTTCTTAATTAAATATTGTTGTTCCTGTATAGTTAAATGTCTATTTGAACTACTTTATATTAAAGATATATTTCAACTTAATTACTAGTGCTAATGACAACTCTTGAAGAACCTTTATGTCCAGTAACAAAAAATGTTTAATAAATCATCCAACAAATGCTTTGTTACAGACATAAAGGTTCTTCAGGAGTTGTTATTTTGTATTAATAATAATCATACTATTTTACATGAGTCAAAAAACTTATTTTAAATAAATATTTTCAGCATCCTTAATTTGAACTTCAGATTGATATATTCAAACAAATAAAAATTTAACCACACTAACATTAGAACATTAACAGCTTTATCTAGAGATCAGTCCAAAGTAATACAGTGTGTTGCAAAAGTGTGCATACACAATAAGTGAATGACAAAATATGTACTATAAATTTTAATAAAAGTATTTACCAGGGCTGTGGAGTTGGAGTCGGAGTCGTGGAGTTTTGGTGTTTTAGTCGGAGTCGGAAGGTAAGGAAAAGTCGGAGTTGGAGTCGGTAGATTTTTACGCGACTCCACAGCCCTGGTATTTACAGTAACTAAAATACACAAATATGTAAAATATAATATATAATTACTTAAAATGTACATCTATAGTAACGTCTAGAACTAAAGGGGTTAAATTGCATTTTAACTTGTTGCAAAAATTTGCATATAGCAAAAGGTATTTTAAAGCTATACTGATAATTCTCAGGAATTAGAAAGATACAGTAAGAGATCATTTAAAATTAAATGAAGTAAGTATTGTTACTTTTTATTAGACTACTTAAAATATAATACATTTGACTAAATATAAAAACACTTTACCACTGGGGTATTTAAATTTTCTTTACTAACATTTTTCGGCTCTATTTATGAGTCCTTGTCAGGTAAATTATGTTTGAATTCGGAACAACATGAAACATTTCTTTTCAATTTTAAAATCCTAAATTATTATAATAATGATGATAAACTATCTCCCAAAAAATTAATACAATACTGTTTAAGATTGACAACTGTCCAATATTGTTGTACATATTACCCGGTGTTATTACTCGTCCCAAATTCTTTTTTAGTAGTGTATTTCCATGCTCCTGGAAATCACTCTACATCCCTGGAGTTAACGCATTTGTTTTCTTTATTCCTTACCACTTAGCTCGCATAAAAGTGCTACTCATTGGTACCACTTTACATTGCTTAAAAATTGTTATTAAAAGAGAAAAATGAAGAGTTGCAGATTAGGGCTGCTATTTCTATAATGTCTTCTCTATGTTTGTCTTGTTCTGGAACTTGTTGGTATATAAAATTGAACAGAGCTTCAAAACATGGCTGGAATTCAATAGATGGATACAAGCTTTCATAGTTCGTGACTGTGGCAAGATTTTCATCTGTTAAAAGCATGATCTGTAGATCGCAAATCACTTCAAAAGGGTTGCTTATTTGGAAGATGATGATGATAAACTATTATTATAATTTCGGATTTTAAAGTTAAAAAGTCGTTAAATATATTCTTAATAATTCCATTTGAAATTTGAAAAGAAATCAAAACTAATTAATTAAAATTATGGAATCACATTATTTTATCAACTTCTTACATAATTGTAGTGTAGAGAAATACACAAAAAATCAATTTTTCTTTTTTTTCTTTTTTTTTGGTCTGACTTCCAGAGGGCAGATAACTTTAAAACTCTAAAACATTATGTAAATAATGAAATAAAAGTTAAAAATAAAAAAGTGAAATGCAAACCCAAGTGCAAGTGCAGAGAAAATAATAAATTATGTCAATAAATTCCCTAAATGCATTTCACCAGACAGGTCTCTTCAGTAGGGCTATCAGTAGATACAGTTTAAGATTCCAACAATATCCTTTTATGGATTTTCATCTATATATCTGACAAAAGTTTCCCAGCATGCAGCTGTCAATATACCAGTATTTAAATTAACCGTATTGTTTAGCATAATTATGGAAAAATGTTCTTTAATTTTTCTTTTGACATTATTTTATTCTTTATAAACAGTTCTTACATTATTAATATTAATTTCACAATTATTAATACTACAATGATGAAAAATAGGAGAATTATTAAATTTTAATCTTACAGATGCTAATTGTATCGACAATCTGATTTTTGTCGGATATAGAAGTCTGTCTGGCAAAATACATTTAGGGAATTTATTGGTGTAATAAAGTGTTTTCTCTGCACTTGGGTTTGCCTTTAACTTTTTCATTTTTAACTTTTATTTCATTATTTACATAATGTTTTAGAGTTATCTGCCCTCTGTAAGTAAGAATGGAAAGTAAAACTGATTTTTTGTGTATTTCTCTACAATCAATTACATAAAAATTTGTTGAAAAGAAATGTTTGATGATTATCCAAATTTGAACACAGTTTACCTGACAAGGACTCATAAATAGAGCAAAAAAATGTTAGTAAAAAAAATTAAATACCCCACTGATAGTATGTTTTGATATACTGTATAACTGTATATCAAAACTGTATAGTAAAATAAGAGCTGGGTTAGAATGGATTGTTATAATACATTTGATCAAAATTTGGAAAAAAAAAAAAAACTTAAATAAGGCAGATGGCAGTGGATAAAAGGAGGAAATTATGTAAGGATGAACCAATAAGCAAAATGACCGATTACTGATTAATTGGCCTTGCATTATCAGCCAAAACCGATTAATTGGCTGATAAGTGTTAATAATTTATTGCGTTAATAGTGTGAGATCCTGGAGTTAATTATAATGTGGAAAAAAATTCCAGCGGAGAAAAATGAGTTTTTCATTTTTCTCCGCTGGAATTTCTGTCTTCCTTGGGTCAGGTAAATAAGAGACAATTGAATATCCTCACAAAATCAACAATCTCTTCCTTTGTTTGGGAAAGTTTCTAAAATAAATCTCAACACTTAATTGTTGATGCATGGAAACTTCAACATTGTTTAAAAAACTGAAGTGTTTGTGTTTAATCGAATAAATATATTTCTTTAACCGCTGATATTTGGACAGCAACTACGAACAATTCTCCTTTTTTTTTAAGTGTAACAACCCACTGGTTGAAGGATGATTTTCAGCAGGAAAGAACTGTTTTGCAAATTGTTTCCTTTGAAGGTTCCCACACAGCTTCATGAATCAGTGAACAGATAAAAATTGTTCTTGAACAATATAAGTTGACAAGTGATAAGATATTCTTAGTACTGAGAGATTCTGCAACAAATATTGTAGCTGGAATTAGGAATTGCAACTTAGAAGCATTATTGTGCTTTATACATACACTACAGCTGACATTAAATGAATGCATATTTTCTCAACAAGATGAGAAAACTATAATCACAGTTAATAGAAATATTGTCACACACATTAATCATTCTGCTGTAGCTGTAAGCAAATTAGAAGATTTGCAAGACAAGTTAGGTTTGCAGAAACACAAATTAATTCAAGATGTTCATACTTACTGGAATTCTACATATTACGTGTTGGAACAGCAAAAAGCCCTTGTCACATATGCTATAGATAATAAAATTCCTACGTTGAGCCCATATCAGTGGTCTCTCGTTGAAAAAATTGTTCTACTTGTAAAACCATTCAAAGAAATTACTGTGGAAAGCCAGCAAACGGGAAGCCACTTCATCTTTAATAATTTCCACAATAGAGACTCTGAAATTATTCTTATTACAAGCAAAGAGCAGTAGTTCCTTTAGTGGCATTAATACCACAACAGAAGAATAGAAAATCCAATTAAAAGAAAAATACTTTCAGCATATATAGAAAACAAGTGTTTATACTTGTCATCTTTATTAGATCCAAGATTCAAAATGAAATTTCAAAAAGAGGATATGGTAGAGGAAATAAAAATATGGGCAATTAATTGATAGCTTAGAAGATGTTGATAATTCAAAATCTCAATAACAATTAAATTCTGAAGCTTCTACTTCTGGAGATGGTCAAGATGGAGGTGAATCTCTAAGTTTTTCTGATTTATTTGATGAATTGCCTTCTGGTAAACGAAAGAATGAAGAATATTAGCATGTTTTTAAAAAGAAAGAAAAAAAACAAGAGAAATGAACAAATGTTTCGATAAAGAATTAGAAACACATCTACATTTACCCTTAAACAAAGACATAGTGACTTATTTTTGTGATGAAGAAGTTCAAAAGAACTTTTTCTAATTTGAGCAAAATAACTATGAAATATTTAAGTGCCCCAGCATTTTCCATTGTGAAAGAATTTTCAGCACTGGAGGTAACATTTATGAGCTGGCAAGAAATAGGTTATGCTCTAAAAATGGTGAAATTCTCATGTTTTTGCATTTACAATTTAAGGGTTTTACAACTTGAATATTAAATTTTTATTTGTTTTATATGTTTAAAGTTTAAACTTTAAATAAAAGAGATAGTTTTGAATAGATATATTCAATATATGTATATGTATCGATAAAAGGAATAATTTGAATTGTAATAAAAAAAATTTTTTTAATATTCAGTTTGTCATGTAATAAATAATAAGTATATAACAGAAATTTATTAGTTTTTATTACTAGCATTATACATAACATTTTAACAAAAATAACAAATTGCAAAATTGGTCGATTACCAATTACTTACCGATTAATTGGTGCATCCTTAGAATTATCCTTACAGGAAAGAGAAATTGTTTTCAGTGTATGGAGAGATATATTCATATGGGGATATAGCATTTTTATTAAAGAACATTATTAAATGATTATATAATGGATATTCTATGGATNTATAAAACAAATAAAAATTTAATTTCTCTTCTTAACATATTCAATACTCTCTTTTTAATTTAAAGTTTAAACTTTATACAGTATTATACGTTATATTACACTAATAATATGTATCGATGAAAGGAATAATTTGAATTGTAAAATTTTTTTAATATTCAGTTTGTCATGTAATAAATAATAAGTATATAACAGAAATTTATTAGGTTTTATTACTAACGTTGTACGTAACATTCTAACAAAAATACCAAAATGTAAAATTGGCCGATTATCGAAACCGATTAATCGGGGGGAATGGCCGATACCGATTAATCGGCTAAGTGGCCGATACGGCCGATTACCAATTACTTACCGATTAATTGGTGCATCCTTAGAATTATCCTTACAGGAAAGAGAAATTGTTTTCAGTGTATGGAGAGATATATTCATATGGGGATATAGCATTTTTATTAAAGAACATTATTAAATGATTATATAATGGATATTCTATGGATAATATATCAAGAACTGGTTGGCTGCAAAACTTCAACGTACAAAAGAAAACTTTCTCGTGAATACAGTGAGCAAGGAGCCAGATTTAATTTAAAGTAACTCAAAATACAGCTTGAAGAATCATTTGGTACTGTAGTACATAAATCTGCAATAAGCAAGACTTTGCATAAAGCCCAATATAAAGCATGCATTGCTGTCAGAAAACTCCTCATTTCAAAAATTTACAGGAAAGTGAATTACAATTTGCAAAGTATTATAAAAAAAATAGCCATATACAAACATCTCCAACCCGATATATAATATAGCTACAACCAACATATCTAAGGATGAACCAATAAGCAAAATGACCGATTACTGATTAATTGGCCTTGCATTATCAGCCAAAACCGATTAATTGGCTGATAAGTGTTAATAATTTATTGCGTTAATAGTGTGAGATCCTGGAGTTAATTATAATGTGGAAAAAAATCCCAGCGNTTAATAAGAGATGGCACCTAACGCTTACCTCTAGTAACAAATTGATTACGTAATTTATTTAATAATTAGCATAAAACTAGCCCGATAGATTTTCGGCAGTCTGTTGGTTGTAGCTATAAAAAAATAGCCAATTTGGTACTGGAGAAATGTACTTTTCTATGATGAAAGCAAATTTAATGCCTGTGATAGTATTGGTAAAAAGTATCTGTGGAGGCATGTAAGAGAAAGATAATTTCCCAAGAAGTCAGGGAACATTTAAATCTGGGGTAGAAATGTGATCATTTGGAACTGTATGTCAGTAGCTTGAACAGGAAAATTGGGGACAACTAGACAAATAATGGATAAACATGTTTAATGTAGACAATTTTTTTAATAAACTCAAGTAAAGTCTAGAAAAACTAAATCTGCCCAGGAATTATTACTTTCAACAATATAATGATCCCAAATATTTTGTTATATTGTGCATCAATTGGTTGCCTATAATGTTCCTCATTTTCCACAATCACCTGACATCAACCCCATAGAACATCTATAAGCAAAGTTTAAAAAATAAAGTTTTGAAATTAGAGCAAAACAACATTTAGAAGAGATTTTAGTCCAAGAATGGGAAAAAATTTCACCTGACTTTTATGAAAAAATAGCTTTAAGTATGCTTCATCACCTACAAGCTGTTAAAGATGCTAAGGGTGGGCCAACAAAACATTAAATAAATGTTTTATTTACTTAAATACTTTATTAAGTGTATAAATACAAAACGACACATTCACAAAGGTAAGAAACCTTGCTTCTGTCTATCCTTCCGCCGTTTCTACACCATCAGCAATCCTTATACACTTATTAAATGTAATTATGCCAGTATATATTATTAAATATATATATATATTCCAGCCATAGTTTATTTTTACTATTTTTACTTAAAATGTGATATTGTGAAAAATGGCTAATAAACACCAGAGGACACTTTACCTATATTTACATTTTTTTTGCCAAAACAGTAGCCTAAAAAGTAAGGTTGTCTCGGAATCTTTTGTGAATTGTTTTTAAGGATTGCTGATAGTGTAGAAATGGCAGAAGGATAGACAGAAGCAAGATTTTTTTACCTTTGTGAATATGTCATTTTGTATTTATACACTTATTAAATGTAATTAACTCTGGCCATAGTTTATTTTTACTTAAATACTGTTTGTATTCACATTTTTGCAATGCCACTTTTAGTGAAATAATGTATTATTAAATTATATATTTGTTTTTCAAAATTTTTTGCAAACTATTATTTATATACTATTAATACACTTAAATATTATAAAGAAGACATTTAATAAATTCATTTTCTGGTAATGTTATTTTCAAAATTTTCACTCTGTATGCATACTTTTGCAACACACTATCTGGACATTAGAATAGCTTTGCTAAAGGTCATAGAGGAGTTATAATTTGCCAGTGTCACAAGAAGTTAGCAAATGAAAGGAGGAAGATGAATCCTTGAATCTGAGCATTGAGAAGCTAATTTTATAGACAAAATGATTATTTTCACTAGACAGTATTTAATTGTAGCTTCATTGTTAGTGTAATTATTTTTTTTATATTGTAATATTTTATGAATATTTTTACTTAATTTTAAATGTGTTATATTAATATTTGCAAGTTTAGATTTTTTCAAATTAAATTCAAATGTCATGTGCTATCTAAGTAACTAACTGTTTGAATGATAGTTTGTTTGAATATAATGGATTTGAAGCTGGAATTAAGGATTCTGAAAATGCTTTAACTAAAATAAAATCTTTGACTCCTGTGACAGTTTATTTTTTGTTGTAGGTAAATAATGATGTCATATGATCTAGTTAAAGTTTTTATAATGAATTTTATACACAGTTATTAATTTGTTGATGTAAATTATTTTAAAATATACACATTTAATTATAATAAAATCATATTTTTCTATTTTCTTTTTATATATAGATATTATGTCAGAAGAAACAAGACCACCACCAGCAACTTCTACTCCAGTTATAGAATATGACATACATTCACCACCATCACAAAGTGTTAACAGATTGTCACAACAAGAATGCGATATTAGTTCTAATAACAATGGTGAGGTTGTTGGAGGAGATTATTGTTTTCCTACTGGTAGCACTCAGAATGAAGTTCAGAATTGTTCCACCAATCATCTGAATCATACAATGTTTTCTGATAAAGAAGTAGAAAAAATAGAGATACCCATACCACCAGAATCTATTAGTAGTCTGTTAGAAGGACATCATGATCAATCGTCTCCTACTGGGGCAACATTTCAATGTAGATATCGTCAATGTGATTTCAGAACAACAAATAGTTCAAAATTTATCGAACATGAAAATACCCATGCTCAAGAAAGGTCCTTTCAATGTGATGTTTGTCATATGAAGTTTACTTTATTTGCTAACATGAGGCGTCACAAAATGAGTCATTTGGGAGTTAGACCATTTGAATGTTGCCTTTGCCCTAAAAGATTTTTTCGGAAGGATCATCTAATGGAACATGTGGTAAGGCAGCATTCTAAGCAACGACCTTACTGTTGTCCATTTTGTGTTAAGAGCTTTAATTATAGGCCACATTTAAAAGCACATTTATCAAGTGATCATTCTGGTGTTCCACTTGATAAAACATGTAAAATATGTGGTTTTCAAGCTTCATCTATAACTGGAGCAAAAGTACATTATACAACATGTCATCTTAAGAGAGCTCATGGAAAACAGTCTACTACATCTCATTCAACTTCTAATGGAGTGACCACTTCTCAATCATGTGGCAGAGAAGAAGTAACTACAGCTGTTGATTTAGGAACTGTATCACAAAATTTTTCTTTTGTTCCTCCTTCATATCCATCTCTGTCTTTGCCACTTAATAATGATGTGATTATTGAAGGTCCTACTTCAGCTTTTAGTAAAGCATGTATTTCTCAAGCAGTTTCAACAACATCAACTTTCTCTGGCATGTCAAATGGTGGAAATTCAATTCGTAAATGTTCATCACCAATTACAGTTTCTCCAGTAGGATCAGTTTCTTCTCCAACAACAACAGTTAGCCCCTCATCAAGTCGATTAAACCACAGTACTCCTAGAAATTTGGATGTAAATGTGAAACCAGAACCCATTGAAGTTGTTACTGATGGAAGTCCTGATGGAAATAGTTCACAAGCTAGAGGTCAATTAGATTTAGCAGCAAATCCTGTAGAAACATCTTTGACTTCTGGAGATATCCCAAGACAAGATACACAAATGATTGATAATGGAAATTCTATTCATTCTTCCTCCTTATTTCATCCAGCAAGAAATTCTTCCTATCAAGAATCAGCAAACTGGATTCAACAAGATTGTCCACCTGTATCAACCGAATCACAATTTACATTATCACAAGATATTACATTAAATAGTCTTCCTGCTTCTAGTGCAGGTCATTCAAATTTAGCTATCTGGAGTCCTTTACCAGTAAGCAGGGAAACAAAATTATCAAAATCATTAAACGGTAGGACAGGTTTAAAACATTCTGCATTAATATCTCATCCAAGTACAGTAAGAAATCATAGAANAATAGTCTTCCTGCTTCTAGTGCAGGTCATTCAAATTTAGCTATCTGGAGTCCTTTACCAGTAAGCAGGGAAACAAAATTATCAAAATCATTAAATGGTAGGACAGGTTTAAAACATTCTGCATTAATATCTCATCCAAGTACAGTAAGAAATCATAGAAAGGTAAGTAGCTACCATTGTGGAGATGTAAAAATCATGAAAGATAGAAGACTTTTAGATGGTATTAGATATTCAGAAAATCAAGATTCAGAAAATACCAGAAGACGAGAATCACAATTATTAGAAGATAATGAAAGAATATCTCCTACTTCTGCAGGCTATCGTCATTCCTTAGAATTAACACATCATTCAAAACTTCATACAGAAAGTTCAATGACTGAAAGTGAGCAGGGTATAGATATGTCTGATAGAACAGATTTAGTATGTCCTTTTTGTGGAATTATTTTTCCTGATAGGACACTTTATTTTCTGCACCGAAGTCTTCATACTGATTCCAGTCCTTGGAAATGCAATCTTTGTGGTCAGCAGTGTCGTGATAGGTACGATTTCAATGCTCACATTATTAGTCAGGCCCATCATTAGCACAAAGTGAAGGTTTACAATGAATCCTTTAATGCACAATATAAAACTTGGCATAGTTGTGTGAAGTTTTAGACTTAAAAGTATCCATTTATTTTAGAATAGATTTATCATTACTAAATAGTTAAAATTTACAATTTCATTAAAACATAAACAATTTTAAAAGATCTACAACTGGGTTTTATTTGTAAATTTTTCTGTAAATTATTGAAAGTTTGCATTATATAAAAATTTCCTCTAGTAATCTACACAGTTTTTAAATAGCACATTTTGATATAAAAATTTATTTGCTTTTGTCTAATATAGAATCAATTACATATTCATTATGTCTAAGAAGCAGTGAAATGCTTCTTGAAGAATTTCTTATATTCACTTTTAACTAAAATAACTTTTTATAAAAAAAGAAAAAATAGTGTATGAAATACATGTATTTACTAATTGTCTTTTAAATTATTCTAAGTTTCATATTTTTCATTCTATTTCTATAAAAAAACTACTATTGGATTGAGGAAATATTGATTTTGGGCTTTAAATTAAAAAAATATATGTATATACACGTACGTACATACGTATGTACATATATACATACATACCTATGTACACACACAAAGAAGACATTTAATAAATTCATTTTCTGGTAATGTTATTTTCAAAATTTTCACTCTGTATGCATACTTTTGCAACACACTATCTGGACATTAGAATAGCTTTGCTAAAGGTCATAGAGGAGTTATAATTTGCCAGTGTCACAAGAAGTTAGCAAATGAAAGGAGGAAGATGAATCCTTGAATCTGAGCATTGAGAAGCTAATTTTATAGACAAAATGATTATTTTCACTAGACAGTATTTAATTGTAGCTTCATTGTTAGTGTAATTATTTTTTTTATATTGTAATATTTTATGAATATTTTTACTTAATTTTAAATGTGTTATATTAATATTTGCAAGTTTAGATTTTTTCAAATTAAATTCAAATGTCATGTGCTATCTAAGTAACTAACTGTTTGAATGATAGTTTGTTTGAATATAATGGATTTGAAGCTGGAATTAAGGATTCTGAAAATGCTTTAACTAAAATAAAATCTTTGACTCCTGTGACAGTTTATTTTTTGTTGTAGGTAAATAATGATGTCATATGATCTAGTTAAAGTTTTTATAATGAATTTTATACACAGTTATTAATTTGTTGATGTAAATTATTTTAAAATATACACATTTAATTATAATAAAATCATATTTTTCTATTTTCNCACACATTTTTTTCAAATATTTAATCATAAATGCTTGTTATCCTTGAAAGCAGAAATTTTGAGAATTTAAAATTTTTTTATGTAAAAAAGTTTTGTATGCTTACCACATTCAAATAGTATTTTAACAATTCAAATTAAAATATTAAGCCTTTCTTTTCTATTTTAATAAGTATAATGTTGATCAATATTGTGCAAATGTAAGAATCTGACTATAAGTACTGTCTGATATCATGATAAACATTATATTTAATATTTCATTTTGTACATTCAACATGTTACAAATTTCTTAAATGATTTTATTCATAAATTTTAAAAAAATTATTCAATATTAGTTTTATTGTGATAATGTTTAACAATTTAACAAATAAGAATTTATAATTCCATATTGACTATAAGTCATTTTAGCTTAACCCATGTTGTTAAAATACATTGTCATGTGCACAAAATGAGATGTCATTTTTATTCACTAGCAATAATATATGATTGTTTCATTTTTCCTGTTTATATGCAGGCCTGTTTTTGTGATAGGGAAACAAAATCAAATGCATTTTGATATTCAGATATCATACTAGGTCTAAATTTAAAATAGTGAAAAATTAAATAAATTCTGATTTAATCAAAACTTTTCAAGGTGCAATTTTTTTATTTGGCTTTTGTATATTGTATTGTGAAAGTTTTAAAACATAAAAATATAAAAAATTAATCAAAAGTAATAACAATAAAAACTAAGATATTTGATCTCGTTTATTGTATTACGTGACCATCTTGTACAAATTATCTATTATTAATTCTGATGTTAAATAATGTATAAATGAAAACTGCAACACCTCAAGCAGTATAATCTAAAGGATGATGATTTTATCTGCATTAAGATGCATTTGTTTGTTCATAAAGAAATAAATTTGTGTGTATGTATTGTCAATTAGAGAGAAAAGCCTTCTAAAAAATTATTTTATATATACATTTTTTCAAATAATATCCCTAAATGTTTATTAATTTCAGTTATGAATTTGCAAATATAATTTTATAATATTTTATTATAGTGTTTTAATTTATAATGAATATATATAAAAATATTTTTTAAAAAAATTTAAATTTTAAATCTTTCAGATTTTATACTATGTATATATAATGAGAGATTCTATGGAATAAAGTATGTAAGTGTACTTAGTTACTTTTTTCAGTTGTGTTTTATTAAGCATGTGAAAAAATCAAATAGATTTTAAGGATATGGCTATTTCCCTTGTTCTAATATGCACTTTACTCATGAGTATTTAATATTTAAACTTATTTCTCACTTCATAACAAATCTCATGGAAAACAAAACAGTTTTTTTTTTTAATTTTATTTTTGAGACTTCCTGAAAACATCAGTATTTAATTTAGGTACCTTATTCCATAGAACCAAATTAAGCATTATATATATTGCTTAGTTTAAAATATATATTTATGAAATAAGATGTTAAACTGTAATTAGGAAAAAGAATATCATTTTAATTATGTAAATTAGAATAATATTGACAGAGTATCCAGGCTTATTTTAAATGAAAAATAAAGTATTGAGTAGAAAAAACATTAACATTATTTTTCTTGGATTACTTATAGAATATTGCATATTTGTTCAGTTTGGAAAATAATTATGTTCAATAGGATACTGAATGAGGTATGTATAACAATACATTTTGTAAAATTTCAAATTTAATTTTTACTTATGTCTCACTAACGAGGGAGATGATCCAGTTCATAAAGAAAATAAATGACATATCAAGATTATTATTGGAATATTTGTTTTTGAGAAAAATGAAAGTGAGTTCCCTATTATGTGTGACTCTTCCAAATGCCAAAAATATGTCCTCAAAATTTGCACCTTTTGTAACTGGTCCAAATCTCATTTATAGATAAAACTATATATTTTTTAATATTTGCTGACTTGTTTTTTGTATGTATTGGTGTGTTTATACTGTAATTGATTGTGGAGAGTTTTGGCTGAAGTTTTGTAACAGCAATGTTAGTCATCAAAACTACAAGATTTTCATTAATTAATATTTGGTTTATTTTTTTGAAGTTGTTGCATCAACAGTTTGACTTTGCCCTGGTGATTATATACAGTTATTTTGAATTTTATCCATTCAAGTAAATTGCATAGCATATAACAGAGTTATTCAACTTATGTGCAACAAATTTATTAATATAAGTGAAGGTGAAGAAGCTGTCCTACAATGACAAAATGGTTGAAACAATCAATGAAATATTGGCACTTGACAAGAACAAAAATAACACTAAAAATTAATTATTCATACTTTTCTATATTATAACTACAATCAAATTAAACAGAATATTACATTAGATAATTCTTGAGAATTTCATACACTTGCATCTGATTTGGATCATTGATAATTAAACCATAAATTTTGGATCATTGAATTACCAGTAGCATTCCTATACACCTGCATCTGCAAGTGTATAGGAATGCTACCAATAATTCAATGATCCAAAATTTATGGTTTAATTATATTTATTTTGGTTGATTACATACATAAATAGTTACATTTCAGGTTGACTTACATTTTATAACCCCTCATCAGTAACTAAAATTATTAAGTACAAAATTATTTAAACATAAGAATAATAATAAAACTGAACATAATAGTAATATCCTACTCTGTATTGAATCAACAGTTTCCTTAAATATGAAAGTACACAAACTTGATATAGAACATTTCACTGATACATTAAGCAAATGATAAGGACTGGTGCAGTAGATTATAGATGTTTTATGCTGGGAAGATGGTGTATGCTACTTGTGTATTAATGTATACAGTGGGTGATTGGTTAACGAACAGTTTGGACAATGAACAAATTGGATAACAAACACTTTTGCAAAAGATTTTTATGTTCGGACGATGAACACACATTTGGATAACAACACAAGTAGAAGAGACATAAAATAATGAATAATGATTGGTCTTTCCTTGTCTTCCAGCAACAGTTCAAAACTTTTTGGTGTGCAGGAGACGTCGACACTCAGCCCAGTATATACTGATAGTAATCTTCTGAACTTTGAAACTCTCCCTTGTAATTTCAGCCTTTCATTTTTCTGACAAGAATTTTTTATAGTATTTGCAAGACTGTCAGGTGGGCACTCATTAAGTTTTACATCCATTTTCATTTTAGAAAGATGAGAGTATTGGATTGTTCGGAAAGTAATTTCGTTTTTTTACCACTAGACAGATTAGTCGTATTTTTTCTGCCATTTTCATTCTAAACCGTATTATCATTATATATTTTGACAGCTAGCATTTTAAGACTTATTTATAAAAAATTTTGTTTGATTTTGTGCAATTGTTTATTTTTTGTGTCCCATCAAATATGGAAGATCGGAAGCAGCATTTTTGGCATATTTTGCTCTTTTATTACCAAAAAAGTAAGAATGCTGTTCAAGTGAGAAAAAAATTGTGAGACATGTATGGAGAAGATGTATTGACAGAATGACAGTGCCAAAACTGGTTTTGCAAAATTTCCTACTGGCAATTTTAATATTGAAGATGCACCACGTTCTGGAAGACCAGTTAAAGCTGATGAAGACAAAATAAAGGCATTGATTGAAGCAAACTGCCAAATAACAACACGTGAAATCACTAAGAGATTAAATTTGTCACTTGAAACAAATTGGTTTTGTTTCAAAGCTTGATATATGGGTTCCATGTGTTCTTAAAGAGAGATGCTCTCTTTGGTGGGATTTTAAGGAAATTTTTTTGGAGCTTTTACCAGACAGTTTAACAATTGATTCGAAAGTGTACTGCCATCGAGTAAACAAATTGAGTAATATCATCAAACAGAAAAAGCAGCCAGAATTGATCAACAAAACAGGTGTAGTGTTTTACCACAATGTCAAATTTCACACAAGTTTGGTAACTCATCAGAAACTGTTATAACTTAAGTGGGAGGTGCTATCACACCAACCATATTCTCCAGATCAAGCACACTCAGATTATTACTTGTTCCGGTGTATAGAAATTATTTTTAACTGTAAGACATTTATTTGAAATGACAATGTCAAAAATCACTTGGATCAGTTTTTTGTAAGCAATGATCAAAACTTTTATGAATGTGAAATCATGCTACTACCAGAAACAATGACAACAGGTATTTGATCAAAATGGTGGATATATAATTCAATAAAATATTTATTTATTATAAAAATATTACTTTCTGAACAACCCAATATAATAGCAATGGTAGCGAATGGGCAGAAGATGATTGATGCTGCTGGGCAGTATGGTTTGAACAGGTCTATAGTAGGCTGCAGTTCAATCTTATCTAAGAAAGATACTGGATAATCAAGAAGACTCA